ACCCTGCCGCAGGATGCTGCGGCCCGGCCAATGCCTTAACACACACACACACGCACACACACACACACACGCACACACTCGAGCAAACCGTGTCTTAATTATACACCCCCAATAAATACGGGTTTCCTACGTGAAAGGATGTATTTATATAATTATTTGTTACCTTGTACAAACGTGTAAGATATGTACATAGCCAAAGCTATACAGTCTGTATATTTCTTTTTCCTCTTTTTTTCTTTTTTTTTTTGTAAAAGTTTAGAGCTCCCCCTGTAAGAGCAAATCTGAGTATCTATTTTGTCAATAAAATGCCTTTTGATAAATGACCTTTTTTCCTCCCCTCCTCTTGCCCGATGAGCCCAGCTATTACCTTGCTGCAGGGGGTAGATGACCTCCGCTGCCCGCCCCGCGTTTGGACAGAGGGTGGGAGGGGGGTTGAACTCGGGCACAACGACGTGTTGAAGTCTCTACAATCGGCACAGGACTCGCTTCTGCTTTCCAGACCGTGCCCATGGACGTGGCTGTGCTCTGTATCCCGTCCCCTGGCTGTGATTATTTTTGCAAGCACCTTCCCGTCTCATCCCTGTCGCCTGTAACTCTAGAACCACCTGCCTTTGTGGGACTTCACGCTGCCAACGGGGCAAGGTTTGTGTTTTGAATCCATAGGTCGGGTCTTCACCGTAGCAGAGCCAGCTGAGAAGTGTTAGACCCGTCTCCCCTGAGCAGATGGCACTAACATCTTAACCTTTCCGACTTAACTCTTGTATATCAAATATGGTCCTTTTTCAAGAGAAAACGTATTGTTCCTCTGTCACGACTAAGCTAATTGATTCGAGCAGAAGGCTGTTGAATTAACAAGAATGCTTTGGCAATTGAACTTTTTACCTGTCTGCCCAATGGCTCAGAACATCATTCCTTTAAAAGGAGCTAAGTGAATAGGGTTAATCTGTAGGGAACTTGGTTTCTTTTGAGTTTGGAAAAACTTTGATCTTTTCTCTTCACCAAACGTGATGTATAGTCTGAAGTTTCTTTCCCTGCTGTCTGGTTCCTCTTGTTGCAAACCAATTGGCCACCATGGAGCCTTAAAGTTCTTCAATTAAAGGGATGTGGGACTTTATTTTTTTTTTTAAGAGGAAGACTTGTAACAGTTAGTGAACACCGGAGGGAAAAGGGAGAACAGCCTTTTAAACAGCTTTCCCCTGCATTGTTAGCCAGACTGCAGGCAGCAAGGCATGGATTGGAGCATTATAGAAGAGCCATGAATGCCCTACAGGTGGTCTGCTCACATAATCTCCCCAATTTAAAGCGTTTTCCTTTGCAGGACAATTACATTACAAAACTCCCTTCTCTTTTGCTCCTAATTGAACCAAAGAACAACTACAAGTTTTTCTTTAAAACCCCTCTACCTCCAACTCCACCAAGTTCTGGTCTGTTTCCAGAACTGAGGGCTGTTCGGATACATATCTTGGCTTCAGATATTTTTTTATGCCTTCTGTCAGATTAACAATAATTTGAAAGCAATTGGTTAGCTTGTGTGCTACCAGCGAAAAAGATAGCCCCGAGTCCCTTATTAGTCTGTCAATCAAGATAAGAGATGGGCAGCTCCCCCGCTAATGATGCAGGAGTTGATCACCACTGGGGAGGAGCTTTTTTGCACTGAGCTTCGACTCGATTGTGGGGTTCCCGTCAAAGCTCCCACAATTTGATGGGCACTTTCAGTTGTCTAAGTTCACTTGAATTTTAAAATGGAAAATTTGGAATACTAATCTACTTATCTCTTAGAGGCAATAGGTGCAAACCTAGGTTATATGTGCATTTTCCCCACAGTCTATATTAGTATATTCAATTTTACTATTGCAGACCTGCCCTTTTCAGGTAAGTCAGAGTGTGTTTTAAAAATGTGCTTCCAGGAGTGCACTGGCTGCTACTGCAGCTCGGGTGGGACTTTCCTCCTATTAAGGCATGTGTGGTTGGACCCATGGATACCTTGGATAAACACTGGGGACTTCAACCTGCAGTAAACTAAGTCTTGGAGGAAGTCCTGCTGA